TAGGTATTTATAATTATCTAATTCAAAAACTCAAGAGACTAAAAAGTTTTTAGTTCTATTAAATAATATAGTTATAAATACTTTTATTATCTTAGCTATAATAATAGAGCCTTTAAGATATCTCTCTATACCTTACTTCTTAACTAATTCTATAGTTAAGGAACTTATAAGATAATTTATCTACTTGTCTTATAATAAATATTTCTTCTTAGCTATTATAGATATAATAAATATTAAATAATACTTATTTCAAAAAGGGAACTCTTTAGATATTTATAAGAACTTCTAAATTATAATTATAAAAGCTTTCTTTAGCTTATTCTAAAAGATTAGAAGCTAAGTTATATTAATAGAACCTTTTTTATAATTAGGTCTTTTACTAGATCTATTTACTAGATTTAAGGTACTTCTATAATAAATAATATTAAAATTATATATTATAAGATATATTACCTAATATATTTAATAGCTCTCTAGATATTTTATTTCTATAAAGTATTAGAGGTTATTATAGTCTATAATAATCTCGATTATAAACCTGAACTTTTTAAGGTAATAATACTAATACTTAAAGGCTTTAATAATTATAAGTAGCTTTCTATTATAAGTACTATAATTATATTTAGCTTTAGAGAATTTCCAGAACTAGAATACTACTAGATACTAGTATTTTTTCGGGTTATTACTAGAATTAACTTATTATAAAATAGTACTAGTAATTACAAATTTCGATATATTAGTTTTAATATAAATTTTCTTAGAAAAGTCAAAATAGACTAGGACAGGTATTATAATAAAAGCTTTTTTCAAAGTTTTAAAGCTTTTAGCTACTTTATTTATTTATATAAAGAGACCGGATTTCCGGCCCTTTTCTATTTCTTTTAAAAGATCTATTAAGCCTATAATTATCTAAAAGTAATAGTAAATAAACCTGTAATAGAAATTAGTAAATTCAAGAAATATTTAAATATTATAAAATAATTTTAGTTCTAGCTATTTAATAATATTATAGACCTATTTAGGATCCGTATAAATATCTTCTATTCTAATAAGAAAGCCTAAAAATTCGATTTCCTTAATATTAAACTCGCATTTACTAAGTTTATAAAATAGCTTATTTTTATATAACTTAGTAAATATCTAATAAATATAATTATAGTATTTATTTTTATTTCGGGAATAAATAAGAATATTATCTAAATAAATAACTATAAAATAATTCAGAAGCCCTATAAATATAATATTAATATATATTTAAAATATAGCTAGTATATTAGCTAGTCTAAAAGATATTATAAAATATTTAAAATAGCTATAATAGATCCTAAAAGCTGTTTTCTATTTATATTCTTTATAAATTCTTACCTAATAATATATATCCTTAAGATCTAGCTTTATAAAAATCTTGGCTTCTTAGAACTAATTAAAGGTCTTATTAATAAGAAAAAGTAGATACTAATTCTTAATTATAACTTAATTAAGTCTATAATAATTAATATAAAGATATAGCCTTCTATTTTTCTTAGGAATAAAAAGGATAAGTGCCTTTATAAGACTTTTATTAGGCTTTATCTAATATTTATAAAATATATCCTATAAATATAGATATAATATTTCTAGTTAGATTTCTAATAAATTATATAAAGGCCTATATAGAACTATATTATCTATATTAATAGAGTATTTAATACTATTAAAATTAGGAAGTTCCGAAGCTTTATTAAAGTCAAAAACCTCTAAAAAGTCTTTATATTTATTATTCCGGAAATAAATAAGTACTTTTAAGGCCTCTTTCTAAAGAATATTAATTTGCTATATTAAAAACTTCTATTTAGTATTACTAGAACTATATAATAAAATAGAAATCTAGTAACTATTACAAATATATAAAGCCTATTATCTAGAATAGTTATATTTGCCTTTTATTAAAAATAAAACTTGAGATACTAGCTTAAGATACTAGTTAAGCTTTTTACTAAACTTTTTCGGTATTAGAATCTCAATATTATTAGACTATATAAATATATATATTTATTATTTCTTAATATAGTTTATATATTATATAAAGGTTATTTTATAAAATTCTATACTAAAAATAAAGCTATAAGAACTAATATTCTTATATTTATAGAACCGGAACTTAAAAGAATATATCTTACTATAATTATCTATAATAAATACCTTAAAATTATAGGCTTAATAGACTTTAAATCTATTTCTATAAAAGGTTATAAACTTTTAGTTATATTTAGCTAAAATAGTAAAGCCCTAGCTTTAAATCTAATTATTATTAAGGAAGTTATAGTCTGATCCGGTATTATTAAATCTGCTATATATTTTTAAGGTACTTATTTCTGGCTATATTAATCTTATTTAAATAGTTATATAAAATAATATATCTTTTTTATTATAGCTAAAATTATTAATATTTAAGATTTGGCTTTTTTTTTTTCCTGTTTCTTAGAAAAGTCTTTTCTAGAATACTTTTCTATAATAATAGTATTAATCTGCTTTTATAGATACTTTAATTCTTCTATAGTTTTAGTCTTATTAGGGTTTTACTAAGTCTATTTAGTATATTTAAAATACTTTATATTTCCTAAAAAGTATTCTTTCTATTTATAAGTCTAATAAATTATATCTAAAGTAGAACTAGTATTTTATTAAGGCCTTAAAAGAGCTAAAGTATTACCTAAAGGTTTCTTATATAATTTTCGAAACTTATTCTTTCTTTTTTAATAGTTTTATAAATCAGAATTTGCTAAGTTAGAGTTTTTGGAAGCAGAATTGCCTTTACTAAATTCCTCTACCTTTATTCTTTTTAATTTGGGATAAGTAGAATATTCTGCTTTCTAAGCTTTCTTAAGCTACTCGGAAATAGATATTACCTTATTTCCTAAAAGAATAAATATAAGTATCTAATAAGTCTTATAGTTAGATAAAATAGTATTAAGAATCCGGATCCGGTTCTATTTAGGATATAGGTTCTAGTTAATTTCGAGACTAATTATCCGAATATATAACTCGGTAATTGTCTTACTATTCTTCTAATAAAAATCTCAGAGCTTCTTAAAGGCATTTTATTAATAGGTTTAAGATACTTGAAATATATTAGCTAAATAGGCTTTAAATTACTTCTAATAAACCTTATATAATAATAGGCTTTACTTTATTATAGCTTTTTAAGTATTATAAAGTTTATTTCTAAAGGTATTTATAATAGAGTTAACTCTAGAAAAGTATTTATTATAAGTCTAAGATTAGATTCTAAAAACCGCTTTCTAGAAAAATATAAATATCTTCTATTTCTTAAAGAACTTTCTATAATATAAGTTAAGTATTCGGACCTTAAAAAGCTTTTCTTAGTCCAAATATATCTTTAGGATATTATATAGTAATTTCTAATAGATAGTATCGAGATTACTTTTAAAGCTTATTATATTAGGAAAGGAAATAAGTTCTAACTCTATTTCAGAAAGTTCTCTAATAAGAATTACTAAAGAAGAGAAAATAAACTTATAAATAGAGTTTTTATAAGATATAGTAAACTATAAGATATCCCTGAGAATATTCTTATATTACTTTAATTATAGGATATACTAGTTAATTATATCTACTAATTCTTGCTTTTATTAGAGTACTTTAATTTTAGTATATAAGCTTTATTCTATAGCTTAAGTAATAGTAACTTGAATATTAATCTCGGTATCTTAATTATTACCGGAATTATTTCCGTTATTATTACTAGTTCTCGGAGGCTTCTAAAGGGCCCTATTAAAAGTATTAGACAAGCCTTTACTATTACCCGTATTAGAATTAATCTAGTTAACTTCCTCTATAGAAATAGCTTTAGTAAGAAATTATATATTTCGCAGATTTCGAGATATAATTACTTATTAAACTATCTCTTTTAAGAATAGAGAGATTAGCTTATAAGGTATTTATTAGTAGATAATAAGATAATAGAATAAATTAGTATATTATAAAACTATAATATTAAATTCAGTATAGAACTAATCTCTATCTCTTCTATAAGGTTTAGGGAAGTCCTCTCTAAATAGGAGGCCCTAATAGTATATATATAATTAGTAATTTATAAGCCTAATATATAAAATATAAATAATAGTTAGTTATAGTATTAAAGGACTACTAATCTCCCTAATTAATACCTGTAATATCTGAGGTTTATTATATATTCTTAAGTTATATATAACTTTATATATATTACAGGTTTTTACTTTAAATTAGTTTGTAATTTAAAAGACTTCAAGTAATATATATAAGCTAAATAATAAAAAACTTTATATTTTAAGATTTAAATTTTATTAATAATTTATATAATTTATTAAAAATTAAGATTTTTTATTTAATAGCTTTTAATATACTTCTAATACATTTTATAATCTTTTAAGTTTAAAATAAAAAAAAAGCTTTATATTTATAAAATAATTATTTACTCGAATTATATAATTTTAAAATATAATAATTATAATATGAAAATTAATTAAAAAATAAAAGACTTTTTCTTATAAAAGAAATAAATTATACTATATAAAATAACTAATATAATTAATAAAAACAAAAGAACTAAACTAATAATTTATGCTTTTTATTAATACTTTTATAATTATAATATATTATTTGAGCCTAGAACTTTATATAATTTAAAGTTAATTATTTTATAATAAAGTACTTTATAAGATTTCTTAATATTAAGATATTTTTGAATATTATATAATAAAAGATATAATTAATAAAAGAAGGTTTTATATAAGAATATAATATTAATTATAAAGAAATATTTGCTTTTATAATTCAATTATTTAATTTTTAGATAATAATTATATAAGTAATAAAGCATAAGTAGAAATTATATAATACGAATGCTATAATAGCCTTTTTAACCGAAAAATTCTTAAAGAAGGAACTGGTCTATATATAGTTCTTACTAGAGCTATATTTATAATATGAGAAATAGCTAAATGCTCTGACAAGTCTAATTACTTCAAAAGAGGCTTTCTTCCATAAACGACAAAGCTACATATACCAATGTAGTATTAGTCTAGGGCGCTAAAGCGTAGAGGGGTGCTTCTTACATAGGCCAGTATGAATGAACCCTCCTTTGTCTCCACTCGCTTCTCACCTGAGCCAGCAGAACCTCCAGCTCCTCTACCTGCCAGCCCAGAAATCGCGTGAAAGTTGCAAGAGAAATGCCTTGTAACCCTTGAAGCATGGCCCCCAAACCAAACTTTCCTGCCTCTCGAAGCCGTGGATCTGCAGGCCACAATCCAATTGGAAGCTTAAGATCCAGCACTGTGATCCCTTTGAAGCCAGGCTCTTCCATTGCAATCCTAATCGTTTCACTATTGAGACGAAGGTCGAATCCCGCCTTTAAACCACCTTCATTCATAAGCGTACACCATTTCACCACTGCGCTATTGCTGGGCAGGGTCTTATCATCCGAGAAAGCCATGAGATCGAATTCTTGACTTTCTATCCATCCTCCAGGTTTGATAGCCGTGTGAAGATTATTTGTGAAGTTGCGACAGCACCATGAGGTACCACTTACTTGTAGCACTCTTGAAAGAAAGATTTCCACTCTCGAACTGCAAAGCCGTTTGTAATGCGAGTATGGATGAGCTCGATCGAGTTGTCAGGAAACGTCCAAGGGTATTCGGTGCAGTCATGAATCTCAAACTATCAATAACGTTAAAAAAAATGGACAAGGTTAGCGGTGGTCTACGTACCTGAACGTTCGGGGGAACGCTGTTCTTGTCAGTCACTGTCACCTTTGCTAGACGTCGACAAACTGTGAGATGAAATTGAGAGCACTAACAATTGAGGCTGTATTGGACTCAAGTCCGTTCCAATTACTAATCCTGGGTTAGATACAGTATTATTGGTTTTGAAAGGCTTTTTACCTTTAGCGCTAGGATACTCATCACCTGATAATGGAGTTTAGCTATAGTACTTCGCCTCTTGAGATTTGATCTCAATACTAACCAACGTCCATTACCCATATACCTGTAGAACTCTTTAGTCAATTAATCAGTAATATCTTTCCTGGGGACTCGCCCGTGCCTGTTCCAATATCCAGTATACACTGTGGACTTTTGTCGATTGGCGCGTAGAAATGTTTTCCGTGGAAAAGAATTCGTAATGCATGATACTGGATATCCATTCTAATACATTATAATAGGTAGTGCGAGCAGTGTTACATCAAGCTGATTTAACCATACCTGTCTTGTTCTTCCTAGAGAGTGTCATTGTTTCAGGTCCATAGATAAAACTGATCTCGGGAGACGAACCTCATCATTCGGGAGAACATATTCTGGATTATAATCTCAGTACACTGTTAAGGTAACGGAAGAAAGGTAATTGACTTCCTGCATTATACTATGAAGAGTTAATTGAATACTTGGTAAGAGAATTCGGACGAGGGTGACCTTACAGCGTGGTATGATCTTCCGTGTTCTACCTCGTACGCCAATATGCTAGACGAAAGAGAAGCAGTCGACATTATGCTACACGATGCAGAAAATCAATGGTATGTTCACTAGAAAGAGGAGTTCCTCACTCGTCCTGGTAAGCCTCCTCATAGTCGGGCTGGAGAAAGTCCGGGTTGTTAGAAGCTTCTTATGAAAATGGAAGAGAGGTTCATACAACATCATCTGGCAGAGGTGATACATTTGCAGCCATTCCGAAAGCAATCCAAGCTATGCTCTAGAATTCCCCCCTGGAAAATAAATTTAAATTTTCTCTGTGGGTTGCACTTGGTGCTGGATTGAGTGAAAAGGAAGAGACACGGGAGTATGGAGGGAGTATGGAAAATTGCCCGCCGTCGAGGCGGCGGAGCCAGATGTAACTATCTCGGCGGCCCTTATCTTTGTAATATTCGCCGTTCCTGCTGCAGTTTCGCATCGGCATGCATAAGAGCGGTCAAAACAACCAGCAACCCTCCCTTTATGGTAATCATTCTTAACATCTGTTTTTACCGGACCGTTCCTATTAGCCCGCCAGTTACGGGCGTCCAATTAAACCTCCAACTCGCAGTGGTGGTAGTTTAGACCTTGTATCACCCGCCCCCCGATTGGCAAATCCAACCCCTGCGGTGCCGTGCCCTGATCCAGCTGACAACCCTGGCAAAGTGGCAGCAACCCCGCCCCTCCACACGAAAGAGGAACACCCTCTTTTTCCAACTGAGTCTCACCCCGCCATCCTTCTCTTCTCAGTCTGTGATATGGAGGGTTACCAGAATTCCAACTTGCACTACTAGAAACCGCGTCAGTATGGGTACGACCAGCGACTTTGCCATCAAAGCTGTCCCCTCGGTGTTCGAGTTGGGTCTTATCTGGTACATTGTCAACATAGTCCGTTCATATCTGCGGCTTCGGCACTTCACAGGCCCGACTATTGCTGGCTTCTCCAACCTATGGGTATTCTCGTCCACTCTTCGGGGGGAGCTTAACGAGAGGACAGCAGAGATATTAAAAGGAAATGGTGAGTCCGTAGCTTTCATCATTCTTCGGGTTGAGCCTTCATCTTTAATTGAACTTCTGTGATGTAGGGCCCCTAGCTCGTATCGGCCCAAACCTTTTGGTCACAAACGATGCCGATCTACTTCGCCTTATGAGTAGTGCGAGATCTACATACTCACGGGCGCCATGGTACGACGGCATGAGGCTCGATCCGAGAGTTAACAATGTCATTTCGGAGAGAAATGATAAACGGCATAATGCACTCCGTGCCAAGATGGCTTCCGGTGTAAGTCCGACTGCTCGAACTCTTACAGTTCTCCACGCTCACCTATGGGCTCAAAGTACTCTGGCAAAGAAAATCCGGGATTGGAACAGTCTATAGATGACCGGTGCGAAGACTTGATTGGGCTCATTCGGAAGAAATATCTTTCCTCTGAGAACCTTCTACGCAAGCTTGATTTCGCCCAGATATCGCAATATTTTACCATGGATGTTCTCACTGATGTAGCGTTTGGAGCTCCTTTTGGATATCTTGAAAAGGATGAGGACGTTCATGATTACATCAAGACAATTCGAGCTTTCATGCCGGTGCTAGAGCTACAAACAAACCATCCAACAATCAATTTCTTGATGAGCAGCCGACTAGTTCAAGCAATGGCAGCGCCCACAGCAAAGGATAGGACTGGGATGGGTGCTGTTATTGGGTTAGTGGAATGAGTCCTTATTGTGAACAAATGTTGATATACTTGGAATAGTGTTGCTCAAAAGGTTGTCGCCCAGCGCTTTGGAGAGAAGAAAATAGAACTTGATGACATGCTCGGGTCATTTGTTCGCCATGGCCTCACTCAACAAGAATGCGAATCCGAGAGTTTACTTCAGATGTAAGTAGTGTTTGCTGCAGTCTACCAGATGTTGACTTCTTTCAGCATGGCAGGCGCGGATTCCACCGCCACAGCAATGCGTAGCACGTTCCTACACATTATCACAAATCCTTCAGTCTACCATAAATTAAACAGCGAAATCACTTCGGCGGTGAAAGAGGGTCGCATCTCAACCCCCGTAATCCGTGACGCTGAAGCAAGGGCGCTGCCATATTTGCAGGCTTGCATCAAGGAGGGTCTTCGGATTTGGCCTCCTCTGACTGGGCTAACAACGAAAATGGCTCCACCTGAAGGTGATCATTTCAAAGGAATATTCATTCCGGGCAACACTGAAATAGCATATTCGGCTTGGGGAGTGCAACGCCATACAGGTACATATGGAGAAGATGTCGATATGTTTCGTCCGGAGCGATGGCTGGAGGCAACAGGGGAGACGTTGCAGAAAATGGAGAGATCACAAGAGCTAGTTTTTGGTTCGGGAAGGTATGGGTGTTTGGGAAAGTCGGTTGCTTTTGTGGAGCTCAATAAGGTTTATGTTCAGGTCGGTTGAGGCTCTCTGTCAGTGGACTTCAAGAGACTAACTAGTGGTTAGTTGTTACGAAATTTCGACTTCGCGGTTATTAACCCCATTACACCAATGAAGACGAGATGTAACGGAATCTTTTTGCAGAAGGATATGTTTGTTAGGGTCTCAGAGCGGGCCCGGTAATAAAATTACGTCCGAAGGGAGGCTCTCTCCCTTGATCTACTAGACTACCACAATAGCCAGACCCTAATGGCATCTTCGCCGGTTCCGTTTTAGTCTCCGGACTTGAGCAATGGCCGTATGCATCGGCTACATTTTCTTGAACGTTGCTGAATTTAGCCTGGGAATTCGTTCCTGCTTCTCAGGGTTCGTCAGTCACATGCATCATTGTCACCTGACACGTATCCTAGTAAGGCTGCGTGGCGTTTTTTTTTTTTTTTCTTTTTGCCCCCTCTCAATATGACCTTGCCGCCTAAAAAATCTCGACACCATTTAATAATCTTCGCGGCATTGTTTTAGCACACTAAACGCTTTCAGATTTGACAAATACGACGGTCTCGGAGTATACCACTGGCATAGGTAGGCCCCTTTTTCTACTTGTAGTACGCACTGCATAAGCCTTATGAATAGCAGGCTCTTTACGTAGAACCTAGTATTGAGAAGGAATATTTAACCCTTAATACTGGGATGAGATCTATATAACATATCTCTCCTCGTATACCTCCTTACTATCATCGCACTGTTTAATCGTTTACTGATAACGATCGTTAGGCGACTCAATTCTTCCACGCCTTAGTCATTCGGTGGAATCTCACAGCGTTTTCTCTCCTTAAAGAGCACTATTCTCGTTGATAGTCGATATAGCTAGAAGCACTGAACGACAAGGCGGCGGCGAAAAGCATGGTGTAAACGCTAGCTGTCTTTAGATTGTCTAGAAGATTGTCTAGATATGATGGATTCTGAACTCGATTATCCATTTGTATCCCCAGATAGGCAAACGCCAGTACCGGAAACTGGAAGTTCCCCTAATCTTCATATTACAGGATGGCTACAAGACATCGAGAGTTCCGCGGAGCCGCTAAACCCGTCAAACCAGGAACAACAAGAAATACCAAAATCCAAGGGAATAAACAGGAAAATTTTATTATACACGGACCCGAGGAGAAAGCTAAAAAAGAACAAGCTAGAACTCATTGACATTGGGCCCAAGGCACCTCTTGAGCCTCTTCCAAGTCTTGGATACGATGTATCAATCAAAGCCTCTCAAAAAAAACCAAGCTCAGCCAAAGTCCAAAACGAAGACAATCCGAATCTACAAATAGAAATCGCATCTTCGGTGTATTGTTCACAGGACAGCGGATTGAGGCTTGAGGCGGCTTCAAAGGCATCTCAATCGATCTCACCTCATTTCTGGATTCCTGGAAATGGTCCGTTGACTTTGCAATCCCTCAGGGAGGCTCTTTTTGTCTACAGGATCAAGAGTCATCTCAAGAACAGTGGGCAATGGGAGATTATCTGTTCAGGCCAGCGAGAAAGGGGAAGAAATGAAGTATCGAGGGAGCTCCAAATGCTGAAAACAGACACGGATTCCTCCTCTGCCAGGCTCTTGTCTCTTGCATCACAGCAAAGAAACGATCTACTCAATGCTGCATCGGAACCAGAGTCTAGTTTCGAAAGGCCGGCAGGGAATCTGGTATCCCCACGTCTGCTCGAACCTTTTGCAGTACCTGTGGTGGACCAAATATTTATAGGTGCAAATGATGGCAAGACCGAAGAAGTTACAAGCGTAGATACTCTCAATTCTCTGCCACTTGACCCCCAGATATCAACGCAGACTCGGTTCGTTCCCGGAGGTGACTTAAGTCCACAGTTGGTTTTTGATTCAGCTGTGACAGACGGCCCCGACCTCAAGAATGACCCTGATGAGGAAACTGTTGCAAGTGGTCCTCTTTTACGGCTGTTCCCCTTGCAACCTATACGACTAGCGATTGGAAGTTTATTAAGTGCTATATTGAATTTACTTTGTCGAGCACTTGATGAATACTTTCCAGATGAAACTATCCCGGGGGATCATATAAGAATTCACTGGACCTGTGTAGGTCGACATAGATCCGTGTTGAATTTCAAGATCCCTGACACTATTCGCAGAAGTGTGGCAGGAAAATGTTTGATGATTTTATTGAAACACAGCCCGGAGCTGCTCGACGTCTTGAATCATACCTCAACCGACCTAGGCAACACGTCGCGGCGATAAACACAGAGAGTGAATCATCCACAGGGTCGTTTGAGCTATCTAACTCTACGTCGTCGATCCAGCCACCGAGCACTCAAACGACTAATGATGATTCTTGTGATATAACTAATGTTAACAATCAATCTCGGTATATCCCAAGTTCATTCAGAAATTCAGGTCCTACGGCCCTCGATAGAATTTCGCACACAGAACAATTGTGGTTGCTCACTTGCGCAGACGAGCAAAAGTACACAACGAAACTAGTTCATCTAGACATGGATCCACTTAAAATCAGATCAGACATGGAACTTTCTCGGGCCCTTAAGAAACAACATCTAATTACGCGTCAGAAGTGGTGGCAAGCCATACGACCCCGTGGACTAATCACGATAAAATTTGTTCAGGTATACTCCCCTCTCCCCCGCGCAGAATAACTACAGTCCCATAAAACAATGATACTAATTAATGGACGAAGTTTGAACTCCACCGCTCTCGAGTTGTTGATATTCGAAAATGTCCTGACATGCCTCCAAGATCCGAACACAAATACGCCTTTGACCACAGCGAGCTGATCCCCCCAGTCGGCGAGAACTATCTCATGCACTTAATACACCACCCGGAAGACTACGAGGATGAAATTGTGACCTATCAGCGGCTCCCCAAAAGGCGTGGGGACAGGCTCCACGTTCCCGAAAATATGGATGTTACGATAGGCTGGGGTATCCACCTCGTGGAAGGATTTTTGGCGTATAAAGTGTGGGGTATGTTTACTGGGGTGTTTATAATAGGGAGCATGGTTTTCGCTATGGTATGGGCGACGAGGAAGAGTGATATACAGAGCGCTTTTAGCGTCGCTGCTTATATTTGTGGGCTTTGTTCATTGTTTATAGGCTGCTTCATATCGTATTTAGAGTAAGGTACGAATATTCTGAAAAATCATAAGCAAAACTGAGCGGTTTGTCTACTTAGCTAGGAAATACGGTAGCGGACGCTAGGGTCGTTACACCGAGTGTGACTAGCTAAAGAAAGGGAAGGTTATAGTACTTGAGGACATGTCCAAAGAGCTCAGGGGACGTTCAGGCTGCTCGGGTGAGCTAGCTGAGCTGAAAGGCGAGTCGAGGGCGATTAGCGCCTGAGGGGAAGCGGCCAGGATTACTAACTGATCCTGCAACGAAGATGGTGAGATTGGAGTTTAACTACTGCAATATTTCCTTGTTTAAAATATTGTGAAAATTATAGCTCACCTGCGTTTACTTACTTACCAAGTTACGAAGCATTCACGCGAAGTTAGTTTGAGAAAGATACATAGTCGCAAGAATAAACGTGAGAGGTATTACTAGCTCCTGCTAAATTTGAAACAACAAAGTCATAGTTGAGTATGCCTTAAACGGTGTGGCAATCAAATTCCGTCACTACTCTGGACCGGCAATATAACTTCTCATATTCCTTTTGCACTTCAATCTCAATCGGGAATGAAAGGCGCCAAGCTCAATTCGATTTAAGATATTCAGAATGCAATCGTCACTGTTCGATCAAGAAACACTTTTCGAAGCCCAGCAAAGGTGGTTGTTCACTGATCCACAAATGAATCAAAAACCTGTTGAAACCGGCATCGCGCTGGATTTCTCTCATCTACCGCCACAACATGCAGGCAAATAAGAAATCCAAACAGCAATTCGAAAACCAACGTCACCACACCCAACCTTTCATCTGCGAATGCACATTTAAGCAGCTGCTGGGTTGCAGCGTCGCCACTAATACCAGCAACAAATTTGATGTTCCCATCTGCGGAATCGTTCTCAATGAATCCACTGTGTGCTGTTGCATTATCGCTTACAACAGCGACAGCAGTTTGCACATTCAATGGCCAATTAGCGCCACACGGCGACCAAACGAGGGACGTAAAATCGACGTTGGAGACGGCGGTATATGGTTCAAACTCAGGTCCGTGGAACATGGTCGATGTTGTAACCTGGTTTTGGTTCGCTGAAGTGCAAACGGATTAGAATCCATGCAATTGACTGGGGCAATAACTCACGGCCAGAGAAATAGTACAGAGCAGATAGTGTGGCAGTTACGCCCTTGTCCAGGCCGACGAAACCGCGGAACGTAGTACTTAGGACTGAGAATTGAAATCCCTGGGGATAATGAAGGTCGAGGTTGATCTGGCAGAATTTGCGAGCGTCCATGGGCTGGGTAGTTGCTCCAACTTCAGCAGTAAAGCTGGAGAAAGGCTCTGTCAGCATGCAATCCAGGTTATACGTGGAAGAGAGTCTACGTTGAGGCATCAGTGGAGAGAAATTGCCCCACACTATTGGCAGGGCATCCAGAGCCAGCCTAGGCAATGCCCGAATGCTCACTTGTTAGGGGTCTGGGGCATCGCCAGGAATGGCTATTGCAGCCACAATAGTGGTAGCGAGGAAGAGGATGTGCTTGAACATTTTGAAGTTCAAGGTGTTTGGGGGACTCGGAAACTTATTAATGCTACTCTGGAGACTAATTGAGTGTTGGTTATAACACAGAACAGGCGCATGCTTCAGCCTATTTATCACTATTCATGTTCGAGTACTCCTTCACCGAATGATCAGAACTCGGGAACCAGGGCTGAATAGTATCCCAGTATGATTTGCTACCATGGCCTCGTGGAAGTATGGGGGCGGGAATACGCAGTGCTGTGCGAAAAGCGAACCCGTCGGACAAGCGAACTGCATCGCTGATTGGAAGCAAAGACAAGCATGGGCAGAAAATAAGCTCAAGAACGGATCTCATGGTCTGATGAGATCCAAGACACGGCAAGGAGTTGCACAAATTGTGAAAACATTTGATGTAGATGTTCAAGGGTACAGAACAATTGAACACTGTGTAGTAAATGGCTGATATACCGACACTCGTCAGCATCATTTCAACACTACAGGGTCGGGCTACATGGTTGGGCAAGCCTCTGCAGGACACCTAGGGCTGAAGGAACACAAGATTGACACATTCCATTGAGATAGAGGCAGGGATGATGAGCGCGTGTAGTGATTTTGCCAAGGCCGTAGGAACCAGACGGATCAATTTGTAGGACGTCAAGACACGGTTTGCCGAAAAGAGCAGAAAACTCCAAAATACGAAGTTTAGATCCGCGTCTCAACACCAACAATATTCTCACTGAAAGCCGTGAAGAACACCCGGTTTGAGTATCCAATGCTGTGGCTCCGAATAGGAGTAGCTTCCCCGCGTCTGATATGTTACAGGCCAACGGCACATGATCGTCATGGTAACCGAGCTGCTGTTCAGGCCAGAAGCAGTGCATCGGGCCAACAGTCTTCGTGGACGAGTAAAGACGGCATGGTGTGAGGATGTAGGAGGTTCGGAGGTTCGGAGGTTCGGAGGTTCGATCGGGATGGCACGCTCTCCTGGATGAGAACAATCGGACGAATGGAAACGTTGCAGCAGACCAGCAGCCGAGACAAAGTCGAAATCGTCTATTGCAATCATCAGTGGTATATACAATGCTAGCTCAAACGGTATCCAACGAGCGAATGATGTGCAAAACCCAATGCGCCGTGTACGCCAATGTACGGATGCAACCATTAAATATCCCGCCTCGAGCATCATGGTGTCATTACTTCACTTCTGCGGCGGTGGCGGCGGCGGAGGCATATCTCCATCTTCCCCAACGTCAGCACTCTTCCGTTCTTGTCCAATGACCACGTAGTCGGAATCGGATTCACCTTCGCTCGCACTTGGAGTGTCATTTGGAGTCGGGGGCATAGCTCCTGGCATGGGAGGGGCCGTGTATGCGGGATGCGCCTCTTGCTTCCATCCCGACGTCGGTCTACCTCCTCTCCCAGATGCGGGTCGTTCTGATGTATTGGGCCGTGATGGGTGTCTGAACTCGGAAGAAAGGGGGCTTGTGGGACTTGCTTCTTTCGTTGGGCTTGGAGCAAAGGTGTCCCCCCCAAGGGCTGGACGTGATCGCGGGCTCGATCTGCCGGAGGATGATGACTTGGCTGGGCTGACTCCAGTGCTGGCTGCTTTCTTCAAACGCTCTTCGGTGGCGCGCAGGCGTGCTTCGAGGGCCTCGAGCTCAGAGGTTTGGTTGGAGACTGCTCGTTTTCTAGGTCGCGGTCAGACAGTGATCTCGGGGGAAGACAGGGTCATACTTCTCCGATACAGCGGCATCGAGGTCTGCTAGACTGTTGTCGATCTTGAATAGATCATTCAATGCCAGAGAAAAGGATCGAGCCATGGTAGACTGCGGTCTGGCCTTCGAAGGCTTCCATTCTTGGTCGAGCTCGTCGTCGGACATGTTGAGATATAAAGAGAGAATAGGTAGTGTTTCTGTATGCAGAGGACAGGTCCGTAGGTAGAGAGGAGTTGCTTGTGAAGAGGTGCAAGAGGTGCAAGAGGTGTAAGAGGTGTATGAGGTGTTCCTGTAAATAAGATATGCAGATCTCTGGCTCCAAATTGGCAATAATAGGGGGTTCGGGCTCGGGGCTAGCTTTGGTGTCTCGGATCGTGGCTTCTCTCGTGGCTTCTCTCGTGGCTTCTTTCTGTTCTGGGTTCTGGGTTCTGGGTTCTGACTCCTGAGTTCTCTTGGGGCAAGTTGGGGTTGGCCGGTCCCTGAAAAGGGAGGGGGAGGTCAGGCTGGGCAGAGCAGCAGAATGTCATGCAGCATGATCAGTCGTCGACTCGTCAGGTATCATGGGGATGACTGAAGTTAATGCGCGAGTTCAGCCAGTCGTCAGGAGGGAGAGGCAGCTGCAATCAAAAGCAGCCCCATGCTCGCAATCTTGAAGCACGGGACTGAGTCTAGCCATGGCGATCAATTTGGGGCCTCAAATGTGAGGCATGACGCTGGGACGGCCGCAGCATGGTTGAGAATTTGAGATGGCTCGGATGGGGATGCGTATCGTCGAGACTGAAGGGGAAGGGGTAAGGAAGATAAAAATAAAAATAAAAATAAAAATAAAAATAAAAATAAAAAGAAGCCAGGATTGCTGCTGTGAATACCCAAGTTTGGATGTTCCTTGGAGAGTGGTACTGTACGAAAGTCCATGGGGGATGAGGGTTCGGATGGGGATGCGTAGCGTCGAGACTGAAGGGGAAGGGGTAAGGAAAATCAAAATCGAAATCAAAATCGAAATCAAAAATCAAAATAAAAAGATGCCAGCATAACTGCTGTTAATACCCAAGTTCGGAGTTCTTTGGAGAGCAGTAAATTTATCCGGGAGAGGAGGACTGGAGGGGCAGCTCCGCTTCCACGACTGGCTGGTCCCCCTGTTCGGTCCGGTGAACGATTTCTGTACAAGTACCCGTTGTTCTGGTCCTCTGGAGTGGCTGCAAGTAGAAGTCGGCCACCGTATCTTGGTCTTAGAAATTATTAGAGTTGAGGCTGATGGGCTTGGAGAATGAAAATTGAGAGTGGCTTTTATGAGACGCCCGTGTGGATGTGAATATACGTGTTTCGATGAATATAGCAAAAATAATCGTGTACGATTTCGATACTGTATCGGGTCCTAGTCGGTCCTGCTCCTGCTCCTGATCCGGGCTAAATGCCAACCCACGTCCGCAGTTCCGACTTGGCTCCCGTAGTCCAAATTTGTCGACAAACACCATTTTCCGCGAAGACATCAACATCTTTGCGACACCAAGTCAACAACCACACGCGACCCCCCATGAGCCACATCAAATCGCCCACGAAAGAGCTCAAGTGTCCAAGAGCTCCTTCAAGGCAAGGCTCCGCCAATCCCCCTCCCTCCTGGACTCGTCTCCTAACCTCACTATATAGACCACCGTGGCTCCCATTCTCCTCGATAGCTTCGCCAGTCCTCTCGATCGCTGGCGAGGCGGAATCCGGGGACTCACGGAGGGTATGAATAGCTTCGGGACGGATTACACGCCACTCGAATGTCTATTGCTGTTCCAGTCTCTTGTCGCATACGGCACTGAAGACCAAGCCTTCACGCGAATTTCCGATCTCCTCACAAACAATTCACTGATCAAGGATGGACCCACCTACGATGCGCAAAGGTTGAGCTCTGGTGCTCTGCGGCAATTGTATCTCCAGCTTCTACGGGATGAGTTGAAGGCGGAAGAGCAGGATGGGCACGAAGATGCTGGCCAAGCCGCATCCAAGAAGCGAAAACTCCAGAGTCCACCCCTGCCGTCTTTCAAGGATGCGCAGGAATATCGAGACAAGCTCCCGTTGCTGGTGGACCGATTATATGCACGATACCGAGACTACATGGTCAGGGCAATCCAAGAGGATGAGAGAAGATATGCAGAGGTGCAAGGAGAACTGGGAGAGATCGAGAGAGGCGAGTGGGACGAGCGAATCTTGAACGAAGATCAGGCTTTGGCAAACAAGAACATCACTGCTCCTACGGAACTCCTACGACCGAAGACGAATGGTGCGCCACCGGAACCACTGCCACCAGAGACGCCTACAGCCTCTCTTGTTGAAGAGCATCAAGCAGAAGTCACAAAGGAGCCAGTTCCACCTCCCGCCCCGGCACCAAATCTCGACATACAAGCAGAGCCACGTGCCATCACAGACCTTACCAACAAGCAGGAAGGTCTCCCATCCTCGCCGAAGATACTTGAGCCACCTCGAACTGGAAATGAACCTCCAGCACCGAATCCACCACCTGCAAATATTGGTCCTCACGGTCCATCCCCGCTTCAACCGGGGCCACAGCAGCCTAGGCCATTGCAATGGGAACCCCCTTACGGGCCGCCAAATCAAGCCCTTCCATACCCAGTTGGTGCTCCATATCCCCAATTCAATTCTTCTCAACACCCTCTTCAGGGCTACCCAGCTCCACTCAGAAGCTCTTTCTCCGGCCCTCATGGCATACCCCCACCGCATCCTCATATGCCCTCATCCCCACACGGCATCTTGGTCCCTCCACCGAATGCTATTGGAAGATCTTCCACCAATGCCGCGATGCCTCTCGATGCTCTTGCCGATGTTGCTGGGCAGCAATTCCGTGCACCTCCTTCTGGGCCCCCTACGATGCAACAACTGGGCCCTCACCCAGCAGGTTACCAACCACCATATCCACCTCAACAACATCGTGCCCCTCCCGCTAATGGCCCAGCCCAATGGCCGCAGCAATATGTGCACCCCTACCAAGGTTCGCCTCAGCAATACCCATATCCTCCAACCCAACGACCTCCATATCCTCCTCGCCCTGATCTCATTCAACCAGAGAATAGACATTATACATCTCCCTATAATGGCAGTCAAGGCCCACGGCCCCAGACCACAAGTCAGAATCAAACACCAAGACTACGTCCAAGTCTCCCATATACCCCGTTATCCCAAGGAGGCCTCGTTCCATTGACTGGTAGTGGAACGAGATGGACACCCAAGGTAGCTGGGACGACTCCTAGATCTACCATGTCATTGTCTCCACCTGCGATGGAACCACTCAGCCCTATTCTCCGCCCAAAAGACGCACCTGAGACTTTGAAGAAATCCGGAAAGAAGCAAATGAAGACGTCGGATCAGCCCAAGCCTACCAAGGCGCCTAAACGCGGCGTACAACCCACGAGAGCAGGAAGTACAGCCTCATCAGTTATTGCTGGGTCTTACAGAAGCCAGTCGGTCTTGTCTCATGCTGACGAGGATGAGCTGTCTTTGGACAATGATGTCGCAAGCCGTCACGTGAAGGAAGAAGTTGCGACGCCTCTCGGTGTTGACGATGCTGGTGATACCACTGCTGATGAATCTTCTACACACCTTCCACTGCCTTCACGGTCTGGCCCATCCCCTCGACACCCGACGAAACGCAAACGAGCCTCCAGTATACCTTTTGAAGCTCGTTCGGCCGGTCCCCCTGGTCATGTTATGTGGACTAAGGCATTCCCCAAGATCTCCGCATCTGCACTGGAATCTATCTCCGGTCACCGAAATGCTAGTACGTTCGCAGCACCTGTCAAAGAACGTGATGCCCCTGGTTACACAAATATCATTCTTCGCCCCCAAGACTTGAAGAGCATTCGTGGTGCAATTCTTCATGGTTCTCGGGCCGCCACCGCTGCGGCTCCTGAAGATATGAACCCTAACGCATCGAACATTTGGCTACCCATCTCTGAAGACCTCATTCCACCCAAAGGGATCATCAATTACGCACAACTGGAAAAGGAATTGATGCGCATTTTTGCGAATGCAGTCATGTTCAACCCTGACCCTGACCGAGGTTTTGGAAAGAGATGGCAAGGCATCGGGAAGGGCAAAGGTGATAGTGTCGGTTACGAAATAGACGAGGACGGGGTGATCAAGGATACACGGGCAATGTTTACAGACGTCGAGAAGGTCGTGGGCAGTCTGCGGAGTGCCGAACGGCGGAGTGAGGAGATGAGGGAAAGCAGCATGGCGAGGGGGGTTGGGGATGACGATGAGGTCGATGAACTGGCCGGAGACGGTGAAAGCCACGCTGGTAACACTGGCAGCATGGCGAAGCGACGACGGAAGGCTTGATTCCCCGTGGGTCTCAATAACTCTTAGCTACCTTTGCGGGTAATTATGGTCCATCCACCGATGCGGTTGGACCCAGATTCTATAGATTCTTGCAGCTGGACAGCCATTTGCAAGAGGAAATACGAAGACTAACTCCATCTCCTCGGCGCTCTTGGTCGAGGCATTCTCCAGTGAAGGTTTTCGTTCGTATATTGGTCAGGATCCGAAGAGATTTTTCCGTGATTTCGGTTGTGGCGTATTTTCGAAGTCCGCTGAATATCTTGGGATGTATTTCATACTTCACGTGCACTGGCATCACGATTCTTGGCGGGTGGAGATCCTTGGCTCGGAGGCATTTTCGCGCAACCCCGCTCTCCCCAGATTGTGCCCAGTTACGTAAAACGGCTCTCCGACCAAGAACTTGACAAGTTGCTGCTGAGCCACGGGGTGCTATTATTAAATTTTCATGGCACAGGACATTGTTTTTAGTCAGGGTGAATGCACGATTTATAAAAATTCTAGGCGATTGGATATTTGTTGCTTGGCGAGTCAAGCGATGATGCTAAGTGCAACACGACAAGTCTATGTCGTGATTAATGGCAGGTCAGGAATCATCGAATATCACATTTTTGGCCACTTACCTATATCGAGCGTCTATGAAGTATAATGGAAATCAAGATGATAAATAGCTCGCGCAGACTCCTGTGGAAGCTTGTACTTTTTAATGGCGACCAGGAAGCTTCTGCAGAGCCATACGTTTGCTGTCTTTTACTTCCACATCCCAAACTCAATTAAAGTATGCAACACTTTACAGACTGGGTTTCAGCTGTGCTGGGGAAAGCTCCGTACCCTCCTGGCAACTCGCCATTGGAGCAGCTTCCGAATGAATTGCTTTCTAGAATACTTGACTTCTTGGTCCTACCGGTCTCGGGAATTAGACAATGGTCCATGTTTGACGAGTTGCCGTGTAAGAATATGCATTTCAGCCAATTGCTCGAATCTAACCGCCGGTCAGCTTCCCCAAATACAACCCAAGCAACTTTCTCTATGTTACCTTGCCTTCAGCTATCTCGTCGTATGTACGATGTCGCTCTCCCACTGTTCTATCGAGATATCAAGGTGGTCCAAGAAAGACTCGCTGCTGAAGGACCAAACTTTCAACTTCTTCGCTCCATAGACTCAAACCCAAGCCTCGCACCTCTGATCCGCACACTTGATCTCACGGGGTTTCTCAACTCTGGTCGGCCTTGGCTTGTTCCGCGAACCTTGCTTCTCTTTCTCCGTTTGAGATCCCTACATTTACAGCTCGGCGAGATGAAGAAGCTCAGTGACCAAGCTATCCAGAAAATATTTTTCGGGATGCCAGACTTGGAGACATTGACCATTGCAGATACTTGTCCCAAAACCCATCCGACCTATCTGTCCGATGTTCTTCGGACTATGGAGTCTGTCGGTCCGGATACATTCTCTAACATCCGTTCCCTGACTTGTAGGAGCAACTCCGACTTCATCCAGTTGTGGAACCTTGCGGACCGTGTCAGCTTTGTTGACACCGATATCTTCAGCAATGTTCTTCCACGATTTCCAAAACTTCAAGCTCTCGACCTAGCATACACCTCCGTCAATCCGCAGTCGTTGCTAGCGATCAATCCTGATGCGAAATTACAGTTCTTGCGTATCACCAATTGTCAGGATAATGACACTTCTATGCTAGCACATTTCCTCGCGACTCATACGGCAGTCAAAAACTCATTGGTTGTGTTCGACGCGACAGGTGTAAGGTTCACTCAGCAAGACACAACAACCATACTTGACGGTTTTCCTCCGACCCTTCGTTCTTTGAATCTCAGCAGCTCAAATATGACTGCGAATCATGTTCCTCAACTCCAAAAGCTTTGTCGACATTTGGAAGAGCTGAGTGTGGGGCATGGGCTCACCATGGACCAAGTCGAGGCAAGCATCATGGGGCCAAATTTTGAATTTGATTTCTCTACCACTCGTCGTTCCCTGCATGATGCCCGAACTTCGAAAGACGCGCTTGGGCACGAGCTCACCTTAGGCCCTATGAGAGACGCCATTGCTACTTGCAATCTACGACGAAGACTGGCCTCTGTTTCTCCTATGAACCGCCACACCAATACTTACAGATCTCGAATCAGGTATTTGAACCTCAGCAGCATGGATGAAGAGGATCAGGGCAGGATCACAAATTCAGTGCTGTTGGGAAAGCACTCAAAGCCTTTGGAATTGATCGTCATCCCTAACGTCAGCACTGAAGATTACCACATCCTTCAAAAACTGTGCGGCGGCTGTGGGTGGCGGGATAAATGGATGAATGGGATGGTTTGGGTGGAAAGAGGGTGAAAAGTTGCGTCGACCTCTAGTCCTCTAACGAGGAGTCTTCCTAGCAAATTCGGGTCTGCAATTTTAACTACTCGCTGATCGAGATCCTCGACACAAAATTTGTTTTATGTCAAATGGCACCTGTAATATCCATCGCGCAGCGCTGAACCTTTATTTAATTACATGATGTCCCGCTCTACCGACCTATCCACATAGGAGTGTGCTTCAATATCCTTGTGGGCAGGTTCTATGATACAAATAATGCAGCCACCAACATCATAGGCCATAGCGGATTCGACGCAATACTTCACACACTTCTGACGAACGTGGCTTTGCTCAGCTGTGCAGTCGCCGTCACATTGTTACCAAATGTGAAGGTCCCATTTGTACTATTTGAAGGAGGCTGAGGATTCGTTCCGGTGAGAGCGGCGAGAGCACCGAAGTAGGCCCACTTCTTACTGGGAGTTTCATCCGTGATGCAAGCCGAGTCAGTGCTGGGAAATATGGACGGAACCCATGAGAACTACGTTTGTTAGCTTACCGTTGCGGTGCCGAAGAAGAGGAGGGACGAAAGGGAACATACGGCATTCTTTGCGGCAGTATTGAGTTGGTGCAAGAGCGAGACACGTAAGGAGAACCACGGAATACATGGGCTCTTTTTGCTTGGCTTTCGCAGAAAGTTTGGGTAAATTGGATGCAATGTAATGTCGATCAGAGCACAGAGGGAAGAAGAATCGAATATGAAATATAATTTATCCCCTTTGCAACTTGTCATTAACGCATGGTCTGATGGGTCATGCGTGACTCCGGAAGACAGTTCATCTCATCCACCAAACCTGTGGCGGATGAGAACCATTTATTCCCGTGATGAGGGGAGATCGTATTTATACAAGCGAGGGAGGTGAGATGGTGGGGAGTGGTCGCAACTCGAAACTCGTCTTGCATCAACCTACCAAATTCGCGTTTTGTAGAACTATGCGATGGAGAAGACACTGACTGGCGGATAAATAATCGGATGAATGATACCATCGATACCAGTATGAACGAACTAGACCTGCGCCCGTGGAAGATCTGATCTCCGTCTGGAAAGTCTATTGATCGCTCTTTCGGGAAGACCTGTCTGTGTGCAGGGGCTTTGGGGACTTTACGAGTTAGGGTCCTCGCTTAGGTAGCTTACCCCTAAATAACACGAAAAGTACTCGATATATGTTTTGCTATACCAGATTCGACTTTCGGGTGTTGAGCAAGTGCTGATTGAGGCCGGATTGAGGAAATGACAAATTTACCCTGGTACATAGTATAGGGCGGGGTGGTTAAGGATAGTCCCTATCCCTTAGAGGGAAGTCGGCCTAACTCGGCCCTGGTTTGGTGTCGTTGTCTGGGGAAAGGAGATCTCCCGGTGGCGGCGCCACAAAATAGTGGGGCCACTTCCACTTCACTCCAGTCTATTTTGAAATATTCAGCCTGAGGTTTAAATCGGAATGTTCCACTCCACACCGCTTCGACATCTACCTCAAGGGAGCATCCGCCTCAGCACTTTTATAGTTTGGTTGTACTGTAAATGTTCATTTGAACCGCAACAAATCCAATGACTCACTCGATTTAGCAACTATAAAGACGTAGAACAGCATGGTCTTTGGATTCGCTGATAGTGGATTTCGCCCCGATGACGACATACCCGACCTCTCGGGGAAGGTAATTCTGGTTACTGGAGGTAATTCGAACCTATTGGGAACTCCTTGCTCTAACTGATTCGAATGAATATAGGAAACTCCGGCCTTGGACAAGAATCAGTCCTTCAACTAGCAAAGCATAACCCAAGTCAGATATTCCTGGCTGCACGGAGCCCAGACAAGGGACAAGCTGCAATCCACAACATAAAAGAGGTCGTACCAAAGGCAAACATAACTTTTTTGCAACTGGATCTGACATCCTTTGCTTCTATTGTCGAGGCAGCAAAGGTTGTCAATTCTTCCGTCAGTCGGCTTGACATCCTCATGAATAATGCTGGCATAATGATGACACCGCCTGGTACCACTAAAGATGGCTACGAAATTCAATTTAGCACCAACCATATGGGACATGCTCTCCTTACCAGTCTTCTGCTCCCCAAACTCCTATCAACTGCCGAAGAAGTGAATGCGGATGTGCGTATTATTACCCTCAGTTCAGTTGGACACCTGTGGGCTCCAAAGGGCGGTTTACAACTGGAGACTGTCCAATCAGAACAGAGGAATCTCCCCACTCGCTAGCGTTATGGCCAATCTAAGCTTGCGAATATTCTCTATTCCATCGAGCTCTCCCGTCGGTATCCAGCGATACGCTGTGTTTCCGTACATCCAGGCAGTGTGAAAACTGGCTTGAGTCGTGGGTTGAAGGAATCTTATCCTTTTGCCGCCCCGGTCGTTACTTTTGTGCAGGTCAGATACTACTTCAGTCCTTATTTCTTCCTCTTGGGTATCCCGTGACTGCCAAGTTTGCTCGCGCGATGGACTAACTTGACATTCTCACAGTGGACGGGGTTATATTCACTCAATGTTCAACAGGGAACACTGAACCAACTATGGGCCGCGACTTCCAAAAAAGCAGAAACTGGGAAGTATTACAATCCTGTAGCGGTAGAAGTGCCCGGCTCAGAGTATGCTCAGGATTTGGGTTTGGGTAAGAAACTGTGGGATTTCACTGGAGCAGAGCTTGTGAAGTTCGCGTCATAACTTTATGAATGATTAAACATGGACAGTGTGGGCTCCGATAAGCTCAATAAGCAATGATTAGATAATCGCGCTAATTTGTCGATAATCGATAATTATTAATAATTAGCGATAATTATCGTTCTAGGCGGTAAGGGGCCCGGCAGAATCTGCCCCTCCTGCTCTCTATTCTAATTAATTAATTAATTAATTAATCTTTATACTAGTTCTTTAAAGAATATAACTAATTTGAGATATATTAAAAAAGTAATAATTTGAGTTATTACTTTATTAATCTAATAGCTAGCTAACTGCTTTGCCTTAGATATAAAGATTAATTTCCTAATACGTAACCTAGTTACTTTACTAGTAACCCAAGTAAACTAACTATCCTATAGTATTACTATAAGGTATTTGCTAATCTTACTAATACCTATTATTCCTAATCTTATTTATTAAACTAGCTTTATATTCTTTTTCTAGATAATAACCCGCTTTATATAAATAGCTATAAGATTTATTACTAGAATTAGATTAATATAAAAATTAATATAATTAAGAAAAATGACTTATACTCAAACTCTATAATAAAAAGCGCTTCTATAGACTCTTATAAAATATATAAAGCCAAAGTTTAAATATATATATTTTATTTACTTTTCTAAGCCAAAATCTCCTTTATTAATTAATAAAATAATACCTTTAGAATTAATAAATTAGTATTTTTCTAATATTTTCTGATTTCTTAAAGGGCCTTAGCTATAAATCTAGTTAGTAGATATACTAATATTTTTACTAATTAATTAATTACTAGATCTAAACCTATATTTTCTTTTCTTTTATATAATAGCAGGAATATAGCCTTTTTTATCAAGTGTTTTTCTTAGAGCCTTACCTATAAGAGCCTTCTTAAAAGTAATATACTTGCTATTAGTTTACTTGGTTTATACTATAATTAAATAATTAACTAGAGATTATAATTACTATATCTTAATTAGTATAGTAATTAATATAAATTAAGAAATATACTATAGAAGGAATTAATTAAGGGATTAAAGTAATATAGTTAAAGGAAAAGTATTAGCTAAGGTAAAATAATAGAAAAGAATAAGATAATAGCTTAAAAAAAATTTCATATATCTTAAAAGTAAATTATTTTATATTATAAAGTTAATTTTATTTTATCTTACCTTATTTACCTTTCGATTTCTTTTTAATTATTTAATTATACTATTATATAACTTTATATTATAATCTATAAATTAGTATTTTAATATACTAATTAATTTACTAATCTCTATATAGATTATTCTTATAATATATTCTATAGTAATAGACTATAATTAGTATACTAAATATATTAGTAATTATAAAATATTAGTAATTATTATTAAATTATTCCTAGAGCCTAAAATAAATCTATATTTATATTATATTAATTTTTATACTAATTATAATATTATAGAATAATAGCTATATTAATATAATATCTTAACTAGCCTCTTTTATTAGATCTATTTATATTATTATTTATAAGAGAAAAGTATTAATAGATTTGTCTTAAAACCCAAATATTATAAAAGTATATAAGTATAATAAAGCTCTTATAAAAGACTTTATTTATACTAAGATTAAAAAAGCAAAAGTAGTAAATTAAGATATAATTATAATAGTAAAATATAAAGTAATAAGCTTAGTAATATATAAGAGTATTTTATTATTAAGATAATAGGAAATAATATAGGAGTCTATTATAAGTATTAAATTAAGGAGGTATTTTTAGAATATTCCTATACTAATTTTTATACTAATCTGGTTTTAGAAAATAATAAAAAAAGAATTAGAAAGTAATTAAATAATTACTTAGCTATAATAAGTATAGTAACTTATATATAGCTTGGGATAATAATAACCTAGTATAAAAAGAGATTAAATATAATTCCGAAAATAATATATAGTTTAAGGAAATATAGAAAACTAAGGAAAAGCTTAATTAAAAAAAAGAGATTAAATAAGTTTTAGAGAATAAAATAAAAGAAAAGGCTAATAATATATAAAAAGCTTTAGCTAAGATATATAATCTTTTTTTGGATTAGTATAAAAATTAGTATAAAACTAACTAAAATATAAATATAAATATATTAAGTTTATAATATAATAGAAAACTTAGTAAAAAAAGAAAAGATCCTTATTTTATAAAATTAGATTATTATATAATAAATATAAATTTTACTTATTTTTATATTAATTACTAATTATTATATAATAATTATATTATACTTATTAGTTCTACTAAATTCTTTATACTAGGTAAAAAGGCTATTTAGAGAAACTTGACTAGTTAGATATAGGGAAATAATAAATAAGTTAATTTTCCTAGTTCTATTATTTAGTAATTAGAATCTAAGGCTAAGTTAAATATTACTAGCTTTTATTTCTTTACTAAATCTCGAAAAGGCTATAAAGTAGTAATATTACTAGTATATACTAGAAAGAAGCTAAAAAATAGCTTATACTAATATATTTTCTTATCTAATTTTAAGTTATAAGTTATAAAAAACATTATAGCTACTTAATAATATTTGAAAAACTTTAGTAAAAGTAATAGTTAGCTAGGTACTATGTTTTTAAGATATTAGAAATTAGAAATTATAAAAAAAATAATTATAATTATACTAATTTTTATACTAATTTTATTATTTCTTACTAGTATTAATAAAAATACTTAAAATTCTATTTCTTTTCTAATATTTTAAGTATTTTATTATCTCTAAAATCTTAGTTATTATTTAGGTCTTATTCTATAATATTATATAGCAAGTATCTAAAAAGATTTATTTTATTTTAGTACTTATTACTAGAATTAAGAGAATATTAATTACTATAAATAAGAGCTTTAGCTAATACCTTTTTTATATATCTTAATACTATTATTAAAGTATAAATAAATCCTTAATATTATATGGCTTCTTCTAATAATAATTCTCGTATTTATCTTAATTTACTAGCTATATATATTTCCCTAATATCTAAATAATTTTATTAAAATTATCTAGTTCTTTCTTTACTAGCTATTTAATTTCCTTAACTAGTACCGAATTATTAAAAACAGATATCTAATTTTAATATTTCTCTTAAAGCTTTTTAATTTTAGTTAAGATAGGCTAAACCTATCTTTTTTTCTAATTAGCCCTAATATATTTTATATAATAATTTAGATAAAGTATAAGAATAATAATATAAAGAGGCATATTATTAGACTTGTAATAATATATATTAAAGACCTTTTACTTTTTTCGAATTTAAATATAAAAGTCTTTATTATTTATATATATATTCTATTATACTATAATTAGTATTATTAATTTAAATAATAAAAATTAATATAAAGATTAATATAAAGATTAGTATAAAAATTATTATTTACTAGTAATTTATTAAATACTCGAATTAAAATATCTATTATAAAAAACACCTAATTAATAATTATAGTATTTCCTTAAGTCTTAAAAGTAGCTCTATAGAATAGTTTAAGAAAAGTAGAAATTATTTAAAGCCTTTTCTAGTTTTCTAAACTAAGGTAATCTAATTTTAGATCTATAAGATATTTCTTATAATAAGTATTAAGATAAGTATATTACTAAAAAGTAATATTAAGTATTATATACTAGCTATTTTATTATATCTAATTATTAAAAGAAATTATTCTTCTAATAAGAGCTTTAAATCTAGTAATCTAACTAGAAAAGTAATAAATATATATAATAATATTATAAAGCTAGCCTAATAGTTCTAAAAATCGAAATTTCATTTGTTTTTTCTTATTATTTAATAAAGCTTTTAAATCTCTTAAGTTCTCTTACTTATTAAGTGCCTCTAATTCTCTATTTATAAAAATATTATAAAATAAAAAGGCTTATATAGAAAAATTAATAATATATCCTAAATAATAAATCTACTATTATAAAGTATTTTATTCTAATTCTTCTTTCCTTAGTAAATAAGCCTAAATAGCTTAATATAATATATTATTTATATTAGTATTATTATTAATAATAGCTTTAAGTTATTTAATAATATTATAGTTTTAAAATATAGATTATAAAACCGTAAATTAGTTTTTTCCTAAATAATCTAGTATTATATAAAGAACTAGAAGGGCCTTTATATAATTCTTATTTTATTATTTAATAAAATATATAATAATATCTAAAAGAAGATATTTTTATAAAGAAGTTCAAATATTAAAAGCAAAATAAATACTTGAAATTATAGACTAGAGTTTTTATTATATAATATTCTTTAAGCTAATCTAGTATTTTCTAAGTTTTTTTCTTATATAAAAGTAAGTTATAGAAAGAAAGAACTAAGATTCTGGATTAAGTACTTAATAAAAGATATAAAATTCGGGCTATTTAATTACTTAAAAAGGTAAATTATAAATAATAATTAATAAAATTAAAGTTTTATAAATTATTATCTAATTAAAATATTATTAAAAGATATATATATTAATTTTAGTTATTTAGCCAGATAACTTTACTTATAAGTAAAGCTATTATAGCTAGTTAATTACTTTTAATTAAAGTAAACTAATTTCCGATTTACTTTTAATAGTAATATTATATATTAACTTGAGATAATTATATTAATTAGTAGAGACTAAAGTCAAATAAATATTTAATAGATTTTTCTTTTTATAAAAAAGATAATAGTAATATTTAAATAGTTCTCTTATATCTAGATACCCGAAATAAATATAAGTTTAAATAGCTCTTATAAGTTCTTTTTATTTGGAATTAGATTTGAATTAAGTTAAGTCTATATTAGTAAAGGCTTAATAGATTAATAAGGCAGATTTAGAAACTATATTTAAATAATAAAAGATAAAGTATTATTATATATTAAAAAGAGAATAAAAAAAAGTATAAAAATTTTAATCTTTTTTAGAAGAAATAGTAATATAAATCTTAGTATTACGTATTAAATACTAGCTAGTCTATATTATATAATAGATTATTAAATAGAAAATATAATAGTATATTTATAATAGTTTACTTTTATACTAATCTTTATACTAATTAGTTTATAATTAAACTAGAAAGCGAGATATTTATATAATAGAACTTACTTAATAGCTAGCTAGACCCACTTTTATTAATAATTATTAAGGTAATAGGGCTCGCTTAAGGGCTAGCTGGGCCTACTTTTATTAATAGAATTATTAATAACTAAATTAGATACTAGCTAGTTTATATTATATAATAAACTATTAAATAAAAAGTTAAAAAATCTAATAATATAGTAATAATAATATACTTTTATACTAATTTTAATACTAATTGGTTTATAATTAAACTAGAAAGCCATAATAGGGCTCGTTTAATAGCTAGGCCCACTTTTATTAATAATTATCGAGGTAATAGGGCTCGCTTAATGGCTGGCTAGGCCCACTTTTATTAATAATTATCGAGGTAATAGGGCTCGCTTAATGGCTAGCTGGGCCCACTTTTATTAATAATTATCGAGGTAATGGGGCTCGCTTAAGGGCTGGCTGGGCCCACTTTTATTAATAATTATTAAGGTAATGGGGCTCGCTTAATGGCTGGCTGGGCCCACTTTTATTAATGGAATTATTAATAACTGGATTAAATACTAGCTAGTCTACGTTATATAATAGACTATTAAATAGAAAGTTAAAAAGTCTAATAGTATAGTAATAATAGTCTACTTTTATACTAATCTTAATACTAATTGGTTTATAATTGAACTAGAAAGCGAGATGTTTATATAATGGGGCTCACTGGCTGGCTGGGCCCACTTTTATTAATGGCATTATTGAGGCGATGGGGCTCGCTTAAGGGCTGGCTGGGCCCACTTTTATTAATGATTATCGAGGTAATGGGGGGCTCGCTTAATGGCTGGCTGGGCCCACTTTTATTAATGGAATTATTAATAACTGGATTAAATACTAGCTAGTCTACGTTATATAATAGACTATTAAATAGAAAGTTAAAAAGTCTAATAGTATAGTAATAATAGTCTACTTTTATACTAATCTTAATACTAATTGGTTTATAATTGAACTAGAAAGCGAGATGTTTATATAATGGGGCTCACTGGCTGGCTGGGCCCACTTTTATTAATGGCATTATTGAGGCGATGGGGCTCGCTTAAGGGCTGGCTGGGCCCACTTTTATTAATGATTATCGAGGTAATGGGGCTCGCTTAATGGCTGGCTGGGCCCACTTTTATTAATGGAATTATTAATAACTGGATTAGATACTAGCTACTACGTTATATAATAGACTATTAAATAAAAAGTTAAAAAGTCTAATAGTATAGTAATAATAGTATACTTTTATACTAATCTTAATACTAATCGGTTTATAATTGAACTAGAAAGCCGTAATGGGGCTCGTTTAATGGCTGGGCCCACTTTTATTAATGATAATTATTAATATTGATCGTTTATCGATCGCTTAGCCGATAACGATTACTAATCGATAATCCCGATTGATAATTTATCGGAGCCCACACTGAACATGGATTATCAAACTGGGACAATCGCCCGATTCTCTTCAACTTCAGGATATGAGAGCAAGTTGAGAGAGAGTACTGAAATAGCACTTCGAAGTGTTTTACGAATTGCGAAACAGGAAGAAGTGCGGTCAGGCTTTTATTCGAAATGCTTTCTACACAGCGCAAATTTGTCAATTTACTCCCTACAATGCACTTCACTGTCCTTACCTAGCGCCTGAACCACTCACCAAAGAATAATTCCAGAATACCAGGCCGACATACAACAAATTTTCCTTCTCCTCCCCTTAATCCCGTACCCGTCATATGTTCCTGAACAACACTCATAGAAAGAAGGGACCGAAGGTGGGATTAGGATGCATTTGGAAGGTGACTGGAGCTTGCCTCGTATCGAGGCGAGAATTTGATATAATTCGGGGTGGATGAATATGAATACGAGTACGCGAGTATATAACTAGACGTGGCTGGGAGCAAGGGGCTCAGGCGGGTTGGCTGAGGACGGATAAATAGGGGGTCGGAGGGGCAACGCAGTGGGGCCCATTGCTATTCTGCTAGGTTAACTTATGGGGCGGATTGGTCAGAATATCGGACTTCAATTTGGGGTATTGCTGAAGCTCGTGAGCCTTTGAGAGCTTCGCTTAAGTACTCGGCTCGGAAGACGACCTTGGATAAGGGCACGGGTGGATGTGAGATGGAGTTGAAGGAGCGCAGAAAGGAAAGACGGGTTGCCGGGTGCTGAGAGATTGTGCCATGCGAAGGGGAGGATTGGGCACGATGCTTCCTTCGGCTTCAAATGAGAAACCTAAGCACAGTCCTAGCGTAGAACAGTTTTGTGTGGAAGCTCGAGCCTTGAGGAGTGGCGAGAATGCCGCGCCTTCCTCTAACTAGTGAGCTACATGCGCTTTTCCCTACATTGATAGCCTACCTAGCTTCCTAGTTTGAGCGACTTATTTTCCATCGCACTCTTCGCTTTCGTCCTTCAACAATCATCAATGTTCTTCTCCGAGCATTATTTGCCTCCCGTATTCCACCAAACTTGCGCAAGTCGTCTTGTTGTCACCGCAAAGTTTTGCCAAAAGAACATTTATAATGGTGCGGTTACTACCGGCAGCGCCCAGGGAGTTGTCTGATACGTTCAAGTGCAACGGGGAGTATGATTGAGCTTTCAGCTGGAGGCTTTCTGACAAGCTTCAGTGAATACGTGACAGAGGTTAGAGTCGCGAAACTTCATCAGAACCACATCGAGCACGACGCAGCAAATAAAGGCCTTCAGATGATTGTCCCAGAATCTCTTCGTCGATTGCCAGCAAGCCAGAGCGATCCCGACGCGCCTGCTTCCGAGTACGGCGGTTACGATACCTTTTGCGCAAAATTCAGCAAGATGATGGCTGTGGATCCGGAGCCTACTCTAGACACTGGCTGCATCCAAGGCGACGATTTGGGGGATCTACATTGTCTTGCGTGGGCTAGGTCGAGTAAACACACTTCCGACGCATGTTCTCGATACAGGATTTCTAGCATGGCTTTTTGACCAAGAACGAAATTGTACAACGGCTACCGAGGATAATCGAGCACCCGGCCTTCGAGGCGATGTATGAAAAGATGGCCATGTGGTTAATCAAACCGGTTGCAACGTGAGTATTGGCATCGAATTCGTCTGGAATGAGTTTCTGACGTGTTTCGAAGATATTTCCTTTGTAGATCAGCTTGGTTGGACCGTATCCGTTATCCACTTGTATTCCAAAAAGACCGCATGAAGTATTTCGCGGACTGTTTGTAATCAGAACCCTAGATTGTCCCGTTCTAGGTACATATGAGTGCTCTATATATGACCGACGTTCGGTGGCTATACTAATGGGCGAAACCGATAGGCCATAGCCTCCACGATTTATGAATTAGCCTGCGCACTGTCCTGGGGGGGGCTCATTTAACGGGTTGACGCAACATACGTCTAAATGATATCGCCATGCCAGAAAGACACGTCAACGGAATCTGATCTCAGGGAGCGTGGCAAAGCATTCGTCAGTGCCGCTTAATGCTTGTTACATTGAGCGCTACTGATATGGTGCATTGGTGCAGATTAAAGCATGCGCGATTTGAATACTCGGTTCACACTAGGACTTGGTCTTCAAAAAAAGTTATTTTTTACCTTCTAGTTTGGGCCTCGGCATCCCGGCGGACGTGACCAAGTTGTGGACGCGCGGAGAGGTTCATAGTGTCGTTGGTCACTCCGGTTTCTAGGGGAGAGAAAGATATCGGGCAGTGTTCAGCTGCGCTTTTGTACAATAAAACCGATTGCACCACTTCAGGGATGACTCAATTGGTGTGGTTTGGACGAATCATGATAGCGTACCTTGTTTTTCTCTCCAAAATTTCGCTTCGCAATCATTGTGGCTCCAAGATGTGAATCGCTCACAGGCTTGCCTTTCCTCGTGACTCAAATGGAAGTATAGCTACTAGTAGACCGGCCAGGAAGAAGAGAGCACCGCTGGTATAGACTGGCGCCGCAGTACGGAGGTTTGCAAACATAGCGATGATTGGCTGCGAGGCGTCAGAGATCTCGCCACAAGCGAAGGAATAACTACTTACAGCCATGATACCAAAAATTCGATTTGATGTTGCTGTCAATGCGTTTCCTGTCCCTCTATCCTTCGTTGGAAATATCTCGGGTGTGTAGGCGTAAAGTACGGAATACATGATATTCCCAGCAAAGTTGAATCCGCAGTTCCACCCAAGCAATGCTCCAGACGTCAGTGCTGATGTCGAGCCATACAGAAAGCCCCCCGTCATCAACGTGGCTAAACAAAGAGTTCCTTTTCGCCCGAGGCGAGGCACCTCGACCAAATATCCTCCGATTAGTGCACCGGGAATTCCAACCGCAGCCACAATCAAAGAATCGCGGTACGTAACGTATGTTGAGCCGTCGCCAAATTTTACGCCTCGGAGGGACTGGAGGTAAGGCAGGAAGTTGTTGTACAATGGATATCCGAGACCGATCAATGCCCAGATTGCCATGATGAGGCCCGTTGAGAAAGCCAGTTTGCGCGTTGCGAATAGAGCTCGAACGTGGGAGAGGTCCAGCCTTTCCAATTTACGTTTCAGCGCTGCCCGCGTATTGGTTTGTTGACGGACTCCTCGGGGCTCGCAGGATTTGAGGTCTTCGATTGTGACTACGAAGTATCAGCACGGGGTTTGCGGGGAGAGGAGGAGATCACTTACGAGTAGAAGTTTTGCCGTTCCGTCTGGCGACCTCATGGACGACCCTTACAGCCTGTTCATCCAACCCTTTTCCCATCAAATATTTAGGTGATTCGTACACAGTGAAGAACAAAAAGCGGATGACGAACTCAATCATCGAGATTGCTCCCATCACAACAACGAAGTATCGCCAACCCATGTTCCCTCCGCGTGTACAGTTCTCATCTGACTGACAGGTCAGATGACCCAGAAGTGGCCACGCAATCAATGTAGCCACCACTTGAGCTATTGCCCAGTCGATTGAGAGGACCGTTAGGAGATATTGGTGTGAACCTGGCAGAAATTCCAGAAAGACGGCCGAATCCACTGGAAGATTTCCGCCAACACCAAAGCTCCAGAGTGTGGAGAAGCTACAAATTGCTGCAAAGTTGGGAGAGCTGAATGCAAGCAGTCCGAAAACTGCAGTGACGAGGAGAGTCAGATTGAAGGCCAGCTTTCGTCCAAATATGTCACACCCGAAGCCCCAGAACATTGCACCTGCAAGGAGACCGATGTTCTGTGCGAGCGAAAGAACTGGCGGATGGGGTGGCTTGAATTCATTTGCAACGGGAGTCACTGGCCAGGTTAGCTGCATGGCTCAGGGGTAGAGAGGACACGAACAAATGAGTGAGGTGACGATTGGCCACAGATTATCGTTTGCCCAGCCGAAACCGACGACGACAAAAAGTTGCCATTGGTACCATCCCATACCGATTTCTTGGATCTGAAGAAGTCAGTGGAACAATCACGTGCATTGGAAAAGGGGACGTACTGCAGCGTTCAAAACCCTCGCCTTCGCCTCATAAACAGGGTCTGTAGAAACAATTCCCGTCTGTTGGATTCCCACCACAAGTCCTTCCTCTTGGGAGGCTGCATCTTCACTATTTTCACTCTGTTTCCTCGATGGACTCCCGTCTAGCGAATCCTCCCCCATTTTCGATGGCTCTCCGTTGATTGAATTCATCTCGTACCCTTCCTCTGGATCGTGCTGCAGCAGATGTTGCGCCTCGGCGTCTCGGATGGTGGAAGTTGGCATACTAAGGAAATAGAAGAGGTACGTCTTTAAGACCTTGAAGTCGCGTCATCTGTGTGCCGGATGACAGCTTCGTGTCTAGGCCGGTTTTCGTTTAGCTGTGTGTGATGCCTCGTCCGTGGTTGAGGTCCAAAAGCTTGCCCTGAATTGGCCTGGGGAGAAGTTGCTTGTGGTGAGAAAAGCGGTTCCTAGAACGGCTGCGGAGTTTAACGAGAAGTAGTCATAGAGGATCAGTTGCTGAAGAGCAGCTTCATTCTACTATTACAATTTATCAGAAAATTTACAAAGAGGAGAAGAGAAGTGAAGTTAAATGTTCTTGAGGTATGGGATGGGGATGATCTTCGGACGCTAAAATTAGCGAGACGCCGCTAATTTGGCGCGTGTCGAGCACTTCGATGGAGCTTTCAGATCCGATTCAACCTCCATCACCAACCTGCACTTCGACTTCATCGCCGTACCCGGCATTCAGCCAGGCTTGCGGGCTAGCCAGATACTCTGCCTTGAAATGGTATGAGGCTCTTTGAGGACAACGTCAGAGAACTGGTCTGCAGATGATTGATGGAGGGCCGCAGGACTGTGACGACCTTCCCAACCTGCCTCGAACCCGGCACGAATGATAATGGAGGGACAACCCCTGACATTTCAGCCACCCATCGGGCTCGATTAACGGTGGTAGCAACTCGAGCCAACCTTTTGGAATTCCTCCCTAAGGCTCGATTGCTGTGCAGGCTGCAGTGTTCGGGACAAGATTGGGCCGTTTAGGGAGATCCATTGACGCGAACCCTCCCATCCACGCGCGAATATTCGACCACCGAGCTGTATACTGTCTCCTCCCCTCTATGAAGTTGACTCTCGATATATATTCCCACAATACCGGTCGAGGGCGGCTGTCTAGGGGCCACAAGGAAACATGGGGCACATGATTGGAGGGCAAAGACTTCTTCATGTATTCCACTGCTCCCATGGATCCATCATGCGGAAATAATACTTAGCCGAAGTGGTTGTTTGATTATCGTCACATACTGGTGTACATGAATAGTCTGAAGCAGTCAGGTTACCAGAGCTTCGCAGCAAGCTTGGTAGTCCCATACGCTCTATGGCGCTCCTCAGTCTTCCTTCAACCCCCCTCCCCCCAGTTGCTGGCTGGGCCCAGCTTTCTTCAACTGCACAGATATGTCTGCATATATTTTCTCCTTTTTCGACGGCCGTTCGTATTCGGTTGGGGACACGCCATCCTCACTGGGTCTAGTCCTGCTGTGCGATTAGATGAACGAGTGTCCGCGCAAAGCGTTTCGCATTCGCAAATCGTAAAAGAATATCCAAGGTCATGGCCAGGGGCTTTGATTTACCCGCGCCGTCTCTGTAAAGTGTGACTCGGCCGCAATTTCCGTATAGATATTTGCTTCTGTGGTTTCACTTCGTTGCATCTTCCAGAATGGAATCTCGCTTTTGAACTGGGTTGTTCGATACCTTGGCACTGCACCTTATGGAAAAGATCCCCGAAGCCGTCAGGCCTCCAAGTGGAAAGACTTTTACAATGGAGGCAAACGTTGAACTGCCCAGGGTATCACATCACGTCGAGACTCCAGTTCTTCCAACATCCCGTCTCATTTGTCTTTGTATCAGGTGAGTTAAGAAATTCACCAAGTCGTGGTGTTATTGACACCGTTGCCCCCAGCGTCTCTTTCGGATTATTCTTGTCACTGATGGACACGACGATTGTTGCAACTGCTCTGTACACAATTGGCGCTGATCTCAAATCTCTCGGCTCGATCAACTGGGTTGCTCTTGCATATACCCTCAGCTACCTTGGATGCGCCGTCATATTTGTTCGAATCGCAGACATTTATGGCCGGAGAAATGCCTACATTGCTGCTTTCTTGATCTTCTTCGCCTTCTCCTTCGGATGCGGGTTTTCAACCTCACTCACTCAGCTTATTGCTTGTCGGACGCTTCAAGGAGTCGGAGGCTCAGGCCTCTATTCTCTTACATTCGTGATACTCCCTGAAATCAGCCCGCCGGGGATGATGCAAGCAATCGGTGCTATTGCCGGGGCTGTTGTTGCCATGGCTGGTGTGCTTGGCCCCGTGCTTGGCGGCGTAATAACTCATCATACATCGTGGAAATGGATCTTTTGGATCAAGTACACCTTCTTTCCACAGGCCTCTCAACCCCTAGCTGACCTTTGCAGTGCCCCAATTGGCATTGGCCCACTCATACTGTTCATCATCGCCTGGCCAAAACCCAACCAACTGTGTCCTGCACGACGTCGACCGCTCAAGGAACTGGATACAATTGGCGCCATCCTGATCATAGCAGCATCAGTCCTCATCGTTTTTTCCTTCCAAGAGGCAGGGCTCAAAACTAATGCATGGAAGCAAGCCATTTTCATCGTTCCTTTGGCGATTGGATGCCTTTGTGCAGCTGCCCTGGTGGGGTGGGAGTATTTTGTTGCCCACTCCTGGGAAGGGAAGCTTGCAACAATGTTTCCTCTGCGGCTAATGGAGAGTCGGGTCTATATGGGATGTGTTGCCACGGCACTGCTTGGCGGCTTTCCATACTTCGTTGTCATATACGCCCTTCCTCTCCGACTGCAAGTAGTGAACGAAAAAAGCGCTTTGCTCGCGGGAGTCTCACTACTTCCTATGCTAGGCTCTGTTGCCATAGCAAGTGCTCTTGGTGGTGGCATACACCGAAAGCGAGAAAGGATATTTGGCACGTTACTAGCTGGCTCTCTCTTCATGGTCATTGGATCAGCCTGCCTGTCCACCCTCAAGAACACCGTTGCTGTCCCGGCCAAGATGTATGGCTTTGAAGTCTTCATAGGATTGGGATTCGGACTCATGGTCTCAACCGTTTCACTGGGTGCAATGATAGAAGCCGATACTCTAGACAGGAGTCAGCTGCCCCACCCAAAACACATAAGCCCCGCTAACCGTCGCAGCTGTCGCTCAAGGCGTCATAGCCCAAGCCCGCGTCTTCGGAGGCAGTATCGGCATCGCAGCATCGACCGCAATTCTCGGGACCGTGCAGCGATCCCAGTTATTTGGCATCGTTACACCAGAGCCATTATCAGCTCTTCAGACTTCTGCGGGGACGATGACGCCTGCTCAGCTACACGCTGTGAGGCAGGTATACTCGGATTCTTTTAGTGAGGGGATGCAAGTTTGTGCTGCTGTTTCCGCGGCATGTGTTATTGCCTGTGTATTGGCGTATAGGAGGCATGGTGTGGATTTGGAGGCTAGGAGGGAGGAGTCGATAAGAGAAGAGGATGAGATGATTTGGGCAGCTATAATAGTACAAGAAAGTTCTTAATATGGGATTAGTAGGTAATTAGTCTCAGAGAGGAGTCTATTTTTATATTAGTATAGGTGTTCTTAAATATACTTATAATAATAAATAAGAACTTATTATAATATATATAAAGTGTGACGGCTGGTGTCACATGGTTGATACGGACGTGGTTTCAGCCAAAGGGGTTGGTTTCAGCTAAGGTTCCAAGCTATGGTTCAAACCAAGCTCGCTTCCAAAGCTCGGCGTTTCAGTGGTCTTGGCCATACCTACTTATCCACTGCCACACCTCACTCCTTCCTCCTTAGCTTTAAATTCTCAAGACATAGGAAATCATTAATCTTTGAGCCTCGTTCCATTGCTCTGTTCCTGCCGTCACATGAAGCTTATTTTAAATTAGTTTATTTTTTAATTTTTTTAATAATAATAATTACTAATATATAAATATCTAGTTTATTAAATTAGAAATCTTAATATATTTATATAAGTATTAATTTATTAATAATATATATAAAATATATAAAATATTAATATATAATTTTAAATTTATTAAATCTAATAAAAATAAATTTATTAATTAAATTATATATTAATTTTTTAGTTTAGTTTAATTTTAAATCTTTTATTTAATATATTTATTTAATTTATTTTTATTTATTATAATACTTGACATTATTTAAATTTAAATATAATAGAAATAAATATAATACTTTTATTAATATATTAAAAAATACAAAATTATTTAAATTTAAATATAATAGAAATAAATATAATACTTTTATTAATATATTAAAAAATACAAAATTATTTAAAATTAAAAATAGAAATTAAAAGAACTATAATAATATTTATAAAGAAAATAATAAATTAATTATATTTATTAGTTTTCATTAAAATTATTAATTTATTAATTTCTGTTAATAAAGCTTTAATTAAAATAGTTTTAATTAAAAAAGTTATAATTAAAAAATTCTTTAAAATATTAATAATTAATTTTATATTATTAATTAAATTAATATTTTTTTTATAAAGTTTTAAAAAGAATTATAAATTATTTAAAATTAATATTTTTATTAATTAATATTATATAATTATTATCTTTAATCTAATAAATAGTTTTTAGTTTAATTTAAGCTTTTAATTATTATTATAATATATATTATTATAATATATTTTATTATAATTTATTTTATTATAATTTATTTTATTATAAAGCTTTTAAAAATAAGCTTATTATATAATATTAATTATATAATATTATTATATATAATTTAATATATAACTAGTTTTTTTTAATTTAATTTAAGCTTTATATTAGTATTATAATATAATTATTTAAATTATAAAAAATTATATTATATATATTATATATTTTCTATTTATATTAAATTATAATATTTATATAATAAATTAAAATATAAAAATAAAAAGTATTTATTTATAAATAATAAAGATTTTTATTTTTATTAAATATTTTTAATATTAAATTCTTTTTAATATATATTAGTTTATTAATAATATATAATATTATTATATAATTATTAATAATTATATTATATATTACTAGTAAACTAATACTAATTAGTTTTTATATATAAGTTAGAATTTTCTTTTAATTAGTTTTAAAAATATTTAATAATCTAAAATAAATTTAGTTTATTTTATATTAAAAAAGAAATTATTTATTAATTTTATAAAAGTATTTAATAATTTATAAAAAGAATATTAAGCTTTTATTAATTAATAAATAGTTTATTATTTATTTATTTATTTATTTAACCTTTATTATATTTTAGATCTAATTTCTTTTAGCTTTAATTTTTTAATTTTTATTTATATAATACTTATATTTATAAAAAAAAAATTCTAAAATATATATTTTATATATTCTTTTAAAGCTTTTTAATTATAACTTTTAATTTTTCAATTAAATTAAATCTTTTAAACTCTAGATTTTTTTAAAATTATAATATTTTATTTTCTAAATTTTTTATTATAAATAAAATATTTAAAAATAAAATATTTAATAATTATAATAAAAAATAACTTTTCGAAATATTTAATAACTAAAATATATTAATATATCTTATTATTAGTTTACTAGTAATATATAATACTATTATATAGTTATAAAATATTATTTATATAAGATTAATAAAGTTATTATTATTTAGAAATAGAAATTATAGTATTATAATATTAATATATAATTCCTAAATTTACTAAGCCTAAAAAAGTCTAATTTACTAGTCAAATTACTAATAAAATATAAGATTATATAATTATATCTTATATCTTATATTTTATTATTTATATTTTATATTTCATATCCCGTAACTATATATATAACTTTTAAAGAAATAGCTATACTAATATTAGAAACTTTCTAAAAAACGCGAAAAATATTATCTTTCTTTAATTATATATAAATTCCCTAATCTGGCCTAGTACTAGATTTTCTTAAATATTTTATATATCTATATTACTTTTAAGGCTTTAGTTATATACTAAAGGCTATAGCCTTTTATATATAACTTCTTTTCTTATAATATTCTTTTATTTTATATATTTATTTTCTATTTTATTTATACTTAACTTATTTTTCTATATTATTTATATAATATTTATATTAATTAGATATTTAAGAGTATTTATTAGCTTTAATTTTATTATAAAATCGGTAGAATTTAATTTTCTCTTAATTTATTTAATTTTTATAATCTCTTATTATTTCTATATCTAGTAAAAATATATTATATTAATTATTAAATACTTTTTTTAAATAATTTCTAATTTAATAAAGCATTTATATAATAATTTCGAATTTATATAGACTATTAGTAATAGTTCTATTTCTAGTATTCTATTAATTATAGATTTAACTAAAATACTTATATTAAAGCTATAAGTTATATTATAAAGTTCTAAAACTAGAATACTTCTAGTAATTCTCTTATATTTAATAGAAAACTAGTAAATAATATTAGTATATCTAGTTCTATTTACTAGAACTAGAATATTTCTAATTTAAAAAAAGAGATTTTTATTATTTATAAATAAAGTATTTATAAAAATAATTAAATATAAGAACTTTTTTATTAGTTTTATGAATTTTAGTTCTTTAATAGCATTTTTAATTTACTATTAAATATACTTATTAAGTACCTTTATATTAGTTTCTAAAAGTTTAAATAGCTTAAATAGTAATTAATAGGTTATATAAAGCTTCTAGTTAATAGACTAATATAATATATATATTTTTAGTATATTAGATAATATATTAGTTTTTAATAAAGAGATTTTAATAAATAATACTTCTATTACTTATAATAGTAGTATTCTTTATAGAAATAGTTTAGAGGTTTTTATACTAGTATTCTTATATAAGAGTAATTCTAGTAATATTTATATAAATAATATCTTTATTAAACTTAAGATTATAATTAATAATAAGGCATTTATATTTCTTAGTTAAGAACTTAGTCTTATAAAACTTTAATTACTTTACCTTTATAAAATTATTAGTTCTAATAAATAAGATATTATTAGTTTAAAGACTAATAATTCTAAAGAATTACTTATTATAGAGAAAGTAAAAATTATAAGTTAATTATTTTATAAAAAGGTTATTAATATAATAGAAATAATAAGTTTTAAACTAGTAGTTCTTAGCCTCTAGTATATTATATAATAGTTTTATAGCCTTTAGAACCGAATTATTATTTATATTTAGCTTTCTAATAAGTTTATAAAATAGATTAATATAAAAATTATAGTTAAGTAAGATTATTAATTAGATATAAGCTTGCGAGATATTATATAAATATAATTCTATAATAATACTAAGAATAATTCTTTAGCTAATATATTAAATAATAAGTAATTATATTAATATTATATATTTCTTACTATTATTATAAGCCTAAATAACTAGTTTTGATTTTTTAAACTTTTTTTTATATCTATATTCTTAATCTTATTAATAAATCAGGAATTAAAAATATATATTTCTTATAGTATTTGAGATCTAGAAATAACCTTAAATATTTTTTTTTTTTAAGAAATTAGTAACTTTAACTTAATAAAAGTTTTTATATAAGTTCTTATTTTATAGAAATACTATAATATTCGGATTCTTATAAGAATATTCTTTATTATACTTTAGTAAAATAATAGAAATAATAAGAAAAATTATATTTTTATTACTTTTTATTATAATTCCCAGATACCCGGTATCTGAGATACCTTGCCAGATACCAGATGCCTCCTAGGCACACGTAATGCGGCCGCCTTACTAGAGAAGTATACTTGGAATATACTAGAGATATTTAAAAGGCTAAGCCCCTTTGGGACTAGTATACTATAGGATATATATACTTCCTTACAGCCTCTTATATTCTAGTTTTCTCTTTCTTAGCTTTGAATTATCTTTATAAGAGACTTTCTATCTTGCTTTCCAAGCCCTAAATACCGTACCCGTAATACTTTTAGCCTTATTATAAAGTTTAGAAATAGGTTTAGGTTTAAGGCTATTAGTAATAACCTTAATATCTCTTATATAAGAGAGCTTTATAGAAGTTAAATAAAAAATAATATTACTATATAATAAAGCTAGTATATAGTTCTTTCTATTAATAGCTACTAGCTTATATAGCCTATTTCAATTACTAGATTAACTAGTATTTCTTTTATATTATATAAAAATATTCGAATTTAAGAAAAGTTTATAAATATTAGTAATATTAGAACTATTTCGGATATTTAGAGTATTTATAATCTAGTATCTAGCTTAAAGCTTTTAAATTTCTATTATTACTTTCTTAAATACTACTAATTACTATAATATAATTAATAATAAAGTATTATATTTAGTTATTTAAAGTAAAGTACTATAAACTAAAAAAGTAAAAATAATATTATTAGATTTAGTAAAATTATTAAGAGCCTTAAAAGCTATTTAGAATATAATATCTTTATTAATTCTAATAATTTTAGCTATAATAATAAGATAAGTATATTAAATTAGGCTATAGTAATATTCTATAATTCCGACGAAATTATAAGCTTTTA